TTGAGAAATGGGTTTTTCACCCAGTGTCCCTGGAAATGTTTCTCCAGTGTATGACTCTGGTCAGCATGAGGAGGAGCATGCTCATTTTCCACAGTGTTGCAATGAACTGATGCTAACACAAACTTGTGGTACCATTTTATAACCATTGCATTAGTCAACCATTTAAAAATTGCAGTCCAATCAAAAAGATGACATATGTAACTGAAACAAGCCCATAACCTGTTAACCAAAAGAAACAAAACTTTGAGAAAAAAAACTTCTCTATGTTCAACAAAGATTAGAGAGAAAATTGATAACACCTGGTGTGGGTCTTCCCCCGCCCTCCCCGCCCCCTACGGGAAGGTGGGTCACCAGGTCTTGTCTGTGGCATCTCCTCTGTGGAGAGTTGCTGCATGGCTGCCCCGGGAGCATATGGGGCACAGGGCCCTTCCTCAACCCTGCCCTCCCTTCACCCGGGGGCAGCTGCAGCAAGGGAGGCGCGGCTCACCATACAAACAATAGGCTCCTGGGGCTGGCTCTAAGAGGCAGCCTTCATAGCCATTTTTGCATACTTGTGTGGCTGTAACTATAAACTAAAAGTCCAGGCTAAGACAACGGGCACATCACTTCCCTCACGTCACAGCCACACTGCCCCACTTGCCAGCTTACCCTCCATGGCCGACTGTTCTAATCCCTCCCCTGCACACATTGCACCTGCCTTGGCCCCTGCTCCTCCACTGCACTCACCTGGATCACACTCAACCCTTGTTAGACCCCCGCTCCCAGCCTGCATGTGTCGAGACAAAGCACATAAAATCCGCATGGTAAACACTCCAGAAAACAATGTTAAAAGAAACAACAACCAAACTCGCTGCCATCGAGTTGATGCCAACTCACGGGCACCCTCTAGGACAGGAGAACTGCCCCAGTGGGCTTCCGGGCCTGCGACTCGTTACAGGAGGAGAAAGCTCTGCCTATCACCAGTGGAGTGGCTGGTGGTTTCAAACTGCTGACCTTGCGGTGAGCAGCCCAATGTGTAACCCACTACCCCATATGGCCATAAATCTCCAGTGGACACTGGAACCTGCCCAGCAACTGACCACCCTTCCCTAGTTCATTCTACTGTTCCTCCATTCCGACTCCTCTGTCCCTAGATTAGCACGCCTCCCTTTTATGCTTTCTCCCTCTCCCCTGATGACCTCGCTGGGAAGAAACAAAGAATTACCTCCTTCCAGGGCAAGCGGACCAACCTTTCTGCACCTACACTTCGTGCTGCCTTCTTGTGGCCACCGCTCATTCCATCCTGTCCTCTCTCGTCCATCTCAGACAGTGCTCGTCTAAAGCCCCCCTCTCTACCTGACCATTTAATCCAGTGTTTCCCAAAGTGAGGATGGTGTGCCCGGAGGAGGGTGGGGGAGAGACACTGAAACAATCCAGGAGGGCTGAGCAAGCAGATACCCACACTTTATCCTGGGCTGTGGCTGCAGGAGGGCCCTGATGGCATGGTGGGTTGTGCCTTGAGCTGCTAACCACAAGGTGAGCAGTTTGAAGTCATCAGCTGCTCCGAGGGAGAAAGACGAGGCTTCTAGTCCCATAAATACACAGCCTCAGAAACAGTGACAACTCTGACTTGTCCTGTCGCGTCACTGTGAGTCCGGATGAGTCCAGATGGACCTGCTGGCAGGGAGTTTGTAGGAGCACAAAAGGCTTTCGCTGCCAGAGGAGCACTGAGTAATTTTTTTGGGGGGGAGTGGTCTGGAAAGGGTGCAGTCGGCCAACTAAGTTTGGAGATCTGTGCTTTGAATCATGGCTTTGAAGACTATCTGTATTCTGGCAACTCTCACTTGGATATTTCCAGCTTGAGCTGTGACCTCACATATCCAACTACCAACCTGACAACGCTGTTTGGTTGACTTTAATAAGTATCCCAAACCTGACATGGCCAACATAAGACGCTTCACCGCTCCACCCACCCAGCACCCGCCTCCCCCTCACTTTGGCCTCCCCTCCCCCCACTCTCTTCTCTCCCTGTCCACTCCAAGCACTGGCCTCCGGACCCTTCCTGATTGTGCCAGGATGACCCTGCTTCTGGGACATTGTGCTTGCTGGTCCCTCCTTCTGGAGTTCTTGCCCACAGCCCTTCACCCCCAAATCCCTCAGGCCTCCGATGTCCCCAACCCCTCTCTCCCCACTCCGCCTGAAATAATGCTGCCCACCCATCCCCACCCTCATGACCCGCACCTATCCCAGTGTCCCATTTTATTCTCCTTCCCGGCACTTCTCATTCCCTGGGATTAGTTTTCCTATTCCCTTGTTTACTGTCTACCTTCTCCACTGGAGTGGGGGCCACAGTTGTTTCGAACCATGTCTGGCACAGAAAAGATGCTTGATAAATATCTGTTGAAGTCATGAAGATTGCTTTTACAATACAAAGTAAAGGAGTTTTAAAGTATTGACTGCATGTACAATTGCTGTGTTTTAAATAAGCTACACATCCACACCAACTACAAAACATCTACAAGAGGACGGGGTGGGGAGAGGAACACAGCGGCCCTGGGAAAAAGAACGAGTCACTCGGCGGGGCTGCTAACCACATGCCGGCAGTTTGAAGCCATCAGCCTCAGAGAAAGATGAAGCTAGCTCCTCCTGTCTACGTCCTCGGAAAGCCCCGGGGTAGCTCTGCCCTATCCTAGGGGGTTGCTATGGTTCGATTCGGCTCAATGGCAGTGAGTTTGTGCGATTGTCACAATTTGTTAAAATGGCAAATGAAAGATGAGTGAGCGGCCTGTGAGTGCCCCTGCCTCTGGGAGCTGGCCTGGCGCGCCCCGCTGGGCCTCCAAGTCTTCCTGCCAAACACCCACTGCAGCATCAGACAAAGGCCCCTCTGAGACCATGACAGCGAAGACCACTCGGCCCTCACGTTGGAACAGACACACAGCCAGCACCGGGCAAACACCAACCTTGTCCAGCCAGTGCAGGCGAGGGCCAACTAGCAAGCAGTGGCTAGTTGCTTCCTACCCACTTCAGCCCTGGCCTCACATTGGTCGGCTCTCCGTCTCTACAGGTAAGCCCTATTACAAGATCCAGGTGTCGAAATAGCCCCGCTTCCTGAAATCTGCATCACTAACCCAAGCCCAGACCCTGTCGTACTCTCCTCTAGCCCTCTCTTCCCGAGATGACCAGGGCGCCCCCGGCTCTGTTCTCCCCATGTCCCCATGACAATGAGTACTTCGCTCCTGCTGCTCCCTGGCTGGCGGCACTGACCGTTGTCCCTATCGGTGCCCACTGAACATGAGTAAGTGGGAGACTGGCTGAAAAACAAACTCCAGGATATAATCCCAGTACTTGCTCACTGAATAAATTCCCTGGCATTGCCTGGTTTTCCTGTCATCTGCCTCGTTCCCCCACAAAGCTGGATAGGGGGACGGGAGGGGGGGGAGATGCCTCATTAATTAAATGTCTTAAGGAATCGCATGACATTTACTCAAAGATGCCCTACATGGCTCCCCTTCGCTGCCATCCCTGAAAGCCGCCCCACACGGCAGGCTGGAGCTCCAGTGGAGGACTGGCTCATGGGCAGAGCCTGGGGCAGCAGCGCTCAAGTACTTTAAGCCACATGTTCAAAGCCTAATAAATTAGCCCGGGCTTAGAGAAGTCAGGCTGTACACATGTAAGAAGTTTAATAAGCTTAGAAAATGTGACCTAGAGCTTATGCACACGCTGACTGTACCGAAGGGAGCCCCTGCTACCAGCCCAGGAGTGCTAAGCCCCTGCAAGAGCTGTGGGGCACATGGGGCGGCAGGGACAGGCAGGCAGCTTGGTACAGGTGTCCTCAGAGTTGGGGACTCAGAGCAGAAGGCTGGCAGCCAGCTGGATGGAGAGCAAGCGGGGCCCACGGCTCAGCACCTGGAGCAGGAAAACAAGTCTGAGGTTCCTCACCCGCCCTCCCTGCAACCAGCATCTGCAATTGTGAGTGGCTGCTGGGGCCCGAACTGGTTCAGTACAGTGATTATTTAAGCAAACATGATCTCTGACTTCTGGACGCCAACACCTACTATAAATATAAACAATCAACCTGTCCGAGGGATTTCCAAACTAACTGAACAAACGTGATGCAGTCCAAAGCCTCTCCCTTCCAGTAAAGCAGGGGCGCAGTAACTGCCTGAGGATGGCACTCCACACGGGGGGTGCCCGAGTTTCCACAACGGGAGGCCAGGTGCTGAGAAAGCAGCGTTAAGGGCCGGCAACGGGACTTGCGGGAAACAGCCTACCAGGGAAGAAGGTGCAGCTTGGGAGTCGATCCAAAAAGAGAAATACAATTATGGCGAGAAAGAAAATCGACTCACCTCCCAGGAAACGTCAGGGAAGTCAGACAGACAGATTTGTGTTTCTCAACCACATATACAGTTCAAGGAGCCCTGGTGATGTAGTGGCTACTCAACCACAAGGTCGGCGGTTCAAAATCACGAGAGAGGAAAAAGGTAAGGCTCTCGGAAGCCCACAGGGGTATTCTCTCCTGTCCTACACGGCTGCTGGGAATTGGAATCGAGCAAACAGCAGTGAGGGGGTTTTTTTAGTTATTTTTTTACTCTTAAAATACAAAAGCCCATGGAGAGCAAATGTTTTGAGGATGAGGGCAACGAATGTACAAATGTGCTTTATACAATTGATGTATGTATGGATTATGATAAGAGTTGTATGAGACCCCAATAAAGTGATTAAAAAAATATTTTTAAGCCCATGCCCGCCTTTAATGGTATTTGACATTGCAGAACAAACTAAATATTGGGACCAACACCAAGCAACAGTAACCCTGACATTTGATTTTTCCAAATGACACAAACCACCTCCTCCCCACAGAGCGGAGAACTAAGCAGGAGATGGGGCAGCCACTTCCAGCTTGAATTCTTCGATAGGAGGATCTGGATCCTGAATCCCACAGGGGACTGGAGAGCCAGGAGCAACAGTGGTCACAATGACAAAAGCAGACGTTGGCACGACCCAGAATTAATCATACATACCTGATTAAAATTTTTGAACAAGAACTCTTTGTAGATGGCGTTTCTCTCACTTAATTCCGACCATCCTGCTGCTTTAAGGTCCAGGATAACTTGGCTCCTCTCCTCTGCTGTCAACCCATGGGCATCTGCTGACTGCAATGAGAACACAAAGGCAGGTGTTTGTTTACGCTCAAAGGAACTCCCAACTCTTAGTTTGGGGCACACCTGTTACCCCTAAGTTGGTCTGACTCATAGTAATCCTCCAGGGCAGGGAAGAACTGCCCCATAGGTTTCCAAGGCTGTAATCTTTATGGAAGCAGAATGCCCCATCTTTTGTTTTCTTTTTTCAACAGTTGTATTGGCATATAATTCACAGATCATGCAATTCAACAGTTCGATCACGTCAGAAGGGCGCACGATCATCATCATAGCAGTTCTAGACTAGTTTCTTCGTTCTTACACTCCTCACCGTTAGCTCTCCATCCCCCAAACCTCCCTGGCCAGGCCCACAGGAACCATGACTCCAGTTACCGTCTACAGATTCCCCTCCTGGATCTCACCTACAGACAAACATGAACCGAAAAAGGAGAAACTAACAAGAGTAACAGTAAAACGAGGAAAAAACCTCAATGGGCAAAAAGACATTTTAATAAAAAAATAAAATAAATAAAACCTCAATGAAAAAGAAATCAGAAACTACTGAAAACTATAACAAATTTAAATGAATCATAAGGGAGATCAAATGATAGGGCGTTCAATTGTAACCTAACTGCATCTGCTACAATCCATTTTCTAATGCATTCTGCATGATACCAAGGCTAGTCACATCCCTGGTCCATGGTCAGAAGGGATTCCCTTTATTTTTTTTTTAAACTAAAACAGCTTTAAGAAGGGTCAAAGGGGAGATCAAATGACAAGACATTACATTTTGGCCTATGACCAACTACCGTATCTTTCTCCAGCAGAGAGGCTGGTGGGTTTGAACCACCATTTGTTTGTTTTGTTTTGTTTTGTGCGTTCTTGTGCGTTTAGTTAGCTGCCTTGTGCTTAACCACTGCACCACTAGGGATCATATTTTGTGCGTTTAAAAAAGAAGTTCCCAGGACAACAAATCCCAGCTACCTTTTGGTTCCTTTGTTCTTACAACACAAAGTTCTCAAAAGACAGACCAAAGCAAGGGAGCTCTCAACAAAACGGTTCACTGCCTCTCTACCTCAGTGCTGCCTGGAGCCCCACAATTCTGCTTCTCTGGCATGCTACAGAGAACGGGGACTGGCCGTAACCACTTGCCAAGTCACACATATTGCAGAAGTGTTGTCCTTCCCAGGACGGGAGACACAGATATACACACCTACATGAGAAAAACCCACAAATCCAGTGCTGGGGCCGGGATTAGAACTTAGGGCTCCAAGCCCTCTGGATGGCCCCATACCAGAGGAGTAGCTTTCATTGTCACCTTTCAGAAGTTGCTACGAGCCAACCCCTGAGAAGAAAACAAATTAAATGGGCATTCTGAAGAATTTTGTACATTAGCTTGGGGGGCAGGGGGGAAGGCTTCCAAAAGCCCCTGGCCTTGAGTGAGTTCATGAAACCCTTTTCTCAGAGCACCAGAAGACAAAGTCCCTCCAAGGCGACCCACATATGGCCCAGTCCAAAGCACTGTCCCCCTCTTCTCTACTCACCCTAGCAATGCCCTCTGTAAATCCAAATGGGGCTGACGACGAGCAGGCCTACACTGGTCACACTCTTTGTTACTTGGTGAAAGAACTGGAAACTTCGCGAAGGGAGAAAAGGATACTCCAGCAGAAGTCAGGAGAGCTGGGTGCTCATTCTAGCATGCCCACCACCGCCGGGCGGATGCCCCCTCACCACAGACCCCATAGGGCAGAGTTGGCCTGCTCCTTAAAGCTGCTGAGACTACTGCCTCATCTCTAACCTGCAGAGTGGCTGCCGGGTTTGAACTGCCAACCTTGTAGTTAGCAGGCCAATACTTAACCCACTGCATCACCAGGGCTCCTCATTCTAGCATAAGAACCAACCAGTAACTCCTACCTACCTACTTCAGGACTATGGTGGTCTCAAGTGACAGAGAGACGCTCACTCAGAAAGACTGCGGGCCGCGCCTACCTCTCTGCCCTGAAGCTGCAGGCCATCCCCACTACCACCACCACCACCAGAAACCCTGTAATCTTTTAGCACTGACATCCTGGCACTAAGAGGGTCACATGCAAAACTGGTTTGCCTTAGGATAATTTACTCTGTGAAGGGGGGGGGGGCGGGGGGAACTCCAATGAATCCCCTTTCTTGTTTTTCTCCCTCCCTGGGTAGTGACCCTTCTCCCAAACTAACAGAAGCCCAAACTGAAACTACCTCTTCATTCAATAAAGACATTTTCAGGCCTGTGATCCAAATCCATTTACTGTTAGGAGGCCAATGATGTACTCTGTTTTACAATGATGGTTCTGAAAACATCTACGCCAAGTGCCACTGCAGGAAACCGCCTAAAGTTCTTATTAAATACCGAATCATTTTAGGCAACTCAGAGTATTGTGGGAAAGAAACGAAGTATCTGTGTCCACACTAACATCTGCCAAGAACACTACCACACAGGCCTGTGGTTCTGTTCTGATCTCACACACACGTGCACCGGCATCCACATCCTCGTGGAAACCAATGTCTGCCCTGGAACAGGGACCCCACGGAAGGCTGTGAAGTGGAGCCACTTCGTCCACATAACATGCAACAGTGACAGCCTGGCTGGGGACCCAGCCTCCAGGGAGCTCTTCCTGGCTCCTGGTGGGCTTGCTTTAGGTGGGGAGAGGAGACGAGGGAAAGGAAGATTAGAAGCGGAGGAGTTCGAGTGACTACACTCGATGTGGGGCGTGTAAGAACTCATTCAGGGTCGCCGTTCCTTCAGGAGATCTGGCTATCCTTCCTCCAAAACAGCAGCCATGGAAAACCCGGTGGAGTACAGTTCTAAGTCTGACGCAATTAGAGTTGCCGTGAGCCAAAATTAACTCAAGGACAACTGGCTGAACTTGACTCGAGGCCTGCCTTTGTTCTTTTAGCCATGGGACCATGCATAAGTCATTTGAAATTAAAACATCAATAAAAGTTGCATTGCTGTCGAGTGGAATTCCAACTCAGAGGGTCCCTGTACCAAACTCACTGCCAATGTGATTCAATGCCGACTCGCAGTGACCCCGAAGGACAGAGAACTGTCCCCTCTCCAAAGTCACATGCCTCTTACTGCCTCCGCTTCCACCCACAAAGCAGCAAGGGGATTCAAACCACCAATCGTTAGGTTAGGAGCCTCCTGGTGACCTAACGTAGAATTCCCAGGCCTCCTTAGCTGGAGTGTGGCCATGACAACAGCGGGCAGGTGAAGTGTTTTCCAGTGTGCGGGCACTGGCCGCCACTCTGCCCCGCCAGCATCGTGGGCGCAGGGATGCGCCTTGCGCCAAGCCCACCTGATCCAACTCCTGGTCTTTCCTTAGGGGCCGGGAAGCCATGGCGATCTTAATGTCTTCTAGTAAAAAGAATACGGTGCCAAACGGCCCGCTTAAGGAAACGGCGCGCTTTTGCAACGTTTCTCCACTAGGTGATGCTGCATGTTAAAGCTTTCTCTCAATTTACCCCAAAATATTGATTTCTCAAACGAGAAAGGTGACTGCGTGCTCCTTGAAAATGGTGGGGGCAGGGGGAGAGGAAAAGCAGCACGTGTCACAAAAGCATCGTTTATTAATAGCTCCTGAAAAGCCCCAGGAGCTCAACGCTGCGGCCGCCGCGCTCCGGGCAGGGCGGCGAGGCCCCTGCGCCCGGCGCACGGTCCGGGCGGGACCGCGCCGCTGCCCGTC